TTAATATAGGACCCAATTTTTGAGTTGATTTTAGTCCTAAATATAAGACTCATTTCTCATATTTATCAATTTTCTCTAAATTACCCCTATGTTTACTCCCTCAACTATAATCAAGTAGAAGAGGGAGAGGTGGTATTAAGAAAGATGATTATGGTGTTTTAGGAAAAATGTGTCACTTTCCTTATAATTAACTAACTTACCCAACTTCCTTAATCTATTTAAATTAGTTAAATGGGTCTTATATTAAGGACCAGAGGAGTAATTAGATTGCTTATATAGAACTACACAATAATCTGTCCTAATTTTTATTTTGAAACCGAAGGCGTTGTTTGTGTTAGAAAATCTCATCGGGTCAATATTCCATTTACTCATTTGATTGGTGCCATAACTAAGGGTAATATCCTAACTACTAGTTATGGTTCTAATTATATGATCTTGTTTGTAGACTGTTTGCAAACGAAGTCTTATAATTAGGACCAGAGTCTGAAAGTAGCAGCATCAAAAAAATGCTTTTCAAAAGAAAAATTTAAACAAAAATCTAGAATTGAAATGGCCAAATAAAAGCGTTAATGATAATGCTATCCTTCAAACCCCACTCTCCAAGTATTGGGGTGGTAATATATCAGGTTCTTATAAAATTAAAGATGGGGTGGTTCTTCTTTCTCAATCTTTGAATCATGATGTTATGGGCATTGATGGATTCTGGAGATTCTTTTGGAAAATTTTAGCTACCATTCAAACAACTGCTCCTTATTTAGAAACTTTTACATAATGTCTTATCCTCTTGTTATATTTTAAAGAAAAATCAACCATTCAAACAACTGCTCCTTATTTAGAAACTTTTACAAAATGTCTTATCCTCTTGTGATATTTTAAAGAAAAATCACTTGAACTCTTCTGGGCTTTGTCTCTTTAGATGGGAATATGAAGAATCTTTAGAGCCTTTATTTATCTCAAACTCCTCTTTAGTTTGGATGCTTTCCTATCCGAATTCCCAAGATAAATTTCCCAAAATTTAAAGTATGGTTAAAGGAAACACTTGCTCATCTTCATCAAGATGGTTTTCCTTCTCTAGTTTCTCGAATTATTTGTTTGTTTAATACAATATGGAGAAAGCGCAATTATGTTTTGCATTATGGAAAATATGACTCTCCAATCTCCATCATTCAAGAAATTCAAAATGCCCAATATTTCTCAACTTTAGCCTTCAAGGATTTTTCAAAAGAAAAATTTAAAATAAAAAGGAAAAATCGATACGGCCAAATAAAAATGTTGATTGCTCGATCTGTTTTTAACTCCACTAAGAAAATGAATCCCATTTTCATTAAAAAGCATCACCCTCAAATTAAATAAAGGTTTTTCTTCTAAGTATAATATAATAAAACAAATTAAATAAACATATGATGTTTTTCAGTAAATGATGTTTTGGTCAAAACAATCTTGTAAGCATGAAATAATATTCTGTGATACAATACCCATACAGGCATTATTTTGTACAATGAGTCATTGACATCAAATATTTTATTATTTCGCAGTATAATAATAACTCTACCCAGTTTTATTCTTCACGATGTGACAAATTAATCTCAATTTTAGGATGTAGATTCGGGCGATAAACATATAAAATCATACGTATATGCTCAACAATTTCTGACATGAAAAAATAATAGTAAAAAATCTAGTTTTAAATAAGTATTTTTAAATTCGAAATTTAGAAATTATAGAAATTTTTAAACATAGTTTGTAATAATATCAAAATCAATCAAGTATCATTAACATAATGCATGGGTGAATGCCATCATATGTTTTAATTTCCATACAATATATAAAAATTGATTTGGCCCATGAGGAGAAAAATCTACTTGTTTTGTTTTGTTTCAATGATGTGAATACTGTCTTTGCTGAATCTTCTATATAATAATATATAGATTTTTTGATTGACATGATATATACATTTTAACATTTCCATTAGTAATATATAGTTCACTGTAAAAATGTATCAAAATATTATGATTTTGCTAAAAAATATATATTTATTCATTTTTCGGAGAAATTGAAAAATATTCTTTTTTATAAGTTTGGGTATCTTCAAATTACTTTGTACTTGATATCAATTTTTATTAAAACAGGAATGTTAACGTTAAAACCCTTCTAACAAATGTATTTTTCAAGTTCTGAATTTAAGTGTTTCTCCTTATAGAGTAAGATATTAACAATAATAGAATATGTTTTCAAAGGAAAAATTTAAAATAAAAAGAAAAAAATCGTAAAAATAAAAAAATTGCAAATAAAAACCCGTTACAATATTAATATTGATTTTGACAATAATTTTTATGAACAAATCCTTATATGCAACTTTTCAATTTACAAGGTCTTTTTTTTGTTGCGGTTTTTTCAAATAAAAATCCAGAATTGAAAAGGCCAAATAAAAGTGTTGATTGCTTGATTTGTTTTTAACTCCACAAAGAAAATGAATCCCATTTTTATTAAAAAAGTATCACCCTCAAATTAATTAAAGTTTTTTTCTAAGTATAATATAATAAAACAAATTAAATAAGCATACGATCAATATACTCCTTTGCTCCTATTTATAAAATAGAGAGAGAAGATATTTTTTAGTCCTATTTATAGGGTACTGAGAGAAATTTTTTGTATGGATGTATAATTTTACTCTCATTTATTATTATATTGACTTTGTTTACATGAGGTATAATGTATATTAAATAGGCATAAATTTTAAAAGTTATTAAATTTTAAATGAGAGTTAATAAAGTTTAAATTTTTTTCTTAATTTGTGTAAAATATACTGAAAGTGTTTTATAAATAAGACCAAAGGAGTATTAATTTTTCCTAATTTCACATCAAAATCGGAGGCGTTATTTGTGTTAGAAAACGTAATGGTGGCCCAATGAACATTTACTCATTGTGATCAGTTTGATAAGAGTATAAAAGGAAAAAAAAAAAATAAGAGTCATATCCTAACTAGCATAAAATTAAGAAAAATTGTAATAAAATTCCACACAAGAAAATTAAATACAAAAAAATTTCTTAAAATCATCAAATTATTCTTTTGTCCCAAGGGATCTCACTGCAAAAAAAATTCTATTTTTTTAATTACCAAATTGCCCCTTTTTTTTAAAGTATGCACTAACAACTAAAAGAGCAGTCGTTAATAATTTAAAGTGTAACAATTAACAACTATCACGACAGGTATTGAAAATATATTTTTTTAACGCATCACAAAAATATAATGTATAATCTATCAATAGCTGTTCTGAAAGTTGTTAATTCTTATACCTTAAATTATTAATAACTGCACTTTCAGTTATCAATACATACTTAAAAAAGAAGAAGAAGAAGAAGAAGAAAAAAATAACAATTTGCTAGTTAAACAAATAAAATGTCTTGCAATGAGGTGTCTTGGAATTTCAAAATAATTTGATGATTTTAAAAGATTTTTTCTATATTTAATTCTCTTAAACGATACCTGATTGCAATTTTTCCCATAAAATATGTGTTCAAAGAAAAAACATTACTTTGCCCAAAAAAGAAAAAAAAATTAAAACAAAAAACCTAGCAGTGAAATTCATACATGTGCCAGTGCTTGCGTAGAGGAAATGTGTTAATTGCTTGATCTGCTTTTAGGTACACTAAGAAAAATTGAATCCCATTTTTATTAAAAAAAATCATCCCAAAATTGAATAATTGGTATTATTAATAAATATAACGTAGAAATGAAACTAAATAAATATATCATAATTTTCAGTAAATATATAAAATTTTAGGATGGAGATATAAATATATAAAATCATGAATATATGTTCAACAGATTTGGGAAAGTAAAATTCAAAATTAAGAGGATGTCCTATGTTACCTGGTCATAATCGTGTATTACTAGGCCTTGAGCCACTCATCAAAAAGCAACCAATCGAATACCATTAACATAATGCATGGATGGATGAAGGACAACCACTTATTGAAGAAAATCAGCAAACCAGCAAAGGAAATGCTTATCGAATCACAACATAAAATGCCTATCAGCGGAACACAGATCATAAAACGAAGTGATGGCAACAAACTTTGCCATTCATTCCAATTAATACAGCTAAGAATTAAAAAAATTTTAAATAAACAAAATGCTGATATCACTGCAACATAAGGCCACAAAAGACGTCCCCAAACCTAATGCTGACCAATTTCCTAGTAAATCTGAAAACTATAACAGTAAACGACTAAAGAAAATGGTGCAAAACACTGCTATTAACGTAGGAACAAACATTTTCATGACTCTATACTACTATTTCTATGTGCTTTAGCCTCACTAAATATCCTGCTATGTATATTTCATGCTCCTCCGGTCCTAAATATAAAACCCATTTTGTAATGCAAATTGTACTACAAAATGAGTCTTATATTTAAGACCGGAGGAGTATTTCTTTTATAAACATCAATTGCAACGATCAGGAATGGTTAACAATTACTTTCCCATCCTCTTGTAAAATTCTAACCTCCAGTATCATTAATAAAGAAGAAACTTGAGCTATTCCTGATAAAGAATAAATTTAGGACGAGGATATTCATCAACAATACACTAAACTCTATGATCATTCCACCACAAAAAAATTTATATTTGGGCATCTAACTTTCATAATACTTCCCCAGCATATCTTGTTTCTTCAAAGAAAGACATGCAATTTCCACTCCATTTTTTAACAAAAATTAGGAAGAAAATAGAAAGGAAATGACAGCACCAGGGGTATTGCAAGCCGGACCTTCTCTTGTTCCCATAGAAAGAAAAAGTACATCGCCAGTGGAAACATATGACACTTGACCACATATTAACGGTACATAAAAAGACAATTACCCATCAAACCATATTCTTGCCAAACAAGTCAATTAACTGTGTAAATTCACAATACAAGCTTTTGCTAACCACTCATGGCAGTTAACATGAATATTTGTGGCAAATGAATTTGAGGTGCAGTAGATCTCACCTTGTTTTATTTCTTCAGCACGCCTCCATCAATCATTCTACTGAGAACCTTATCTGCCTTGTCATTCTCATTGTTTTCAAGAAGATATGGAATAACAATGTTGAGAGTTATGGAATCAGGGAGGCAATTGTTCTCTTCCATTCTATCAAGCAAGGCCACGGCTTCATCAAGAAAACCCTCTTTGCAAAGTCCATGAACCATAGCAGCATAGGTACGCACATTTAGTTGATAACCTTTAGCCAAGAGGTGCTGAAAAGCGTCCCATGCATCATTTAATCTATCACCTTTGCACAAACCATCAATAAGTATAGTGTAGGTCTTCACATCAGGCCGAAATCCTTGATTGACAATTTGCCTAAATAATGTAATTGCCTTGTCAATATGTCCCGTTTTGCAAAATGCATGTAACAAGATGTTATACGTGCTTACGTTAGGGCGAAGGCCCCTATCATGCATCTCATAGATAATATACTGTGCGCATGAGATTCTTCGTGATTTGAGCAACCCATCAATAACAGAATTATAAGTTACAACGCTAGGAACCAAATTTCTGGAATCCAGTTCCTTAAAAAGATCCATCGCTTCATCCACCATTTTCATCTTAAAGCATGCGTTGATCAAAATGCTATAACTAACAATGTCAGGTGCCAAACCATTTTCAATCATCTTATTAAAAACTTCCTTAGCCTCAATGATATTATTGGTCAAAAAATGTCCATCCATCAAAGCATTATATGTAACAACATTAGGTCTCCGATCACTCTTCACCATCCTAGCAAAGACAGCTTGAGCTTGTACAATCCTCCCGTCTTTACATGATGCATCAACAATAATGTTGAAGGTATAAACATCTGGTTGTATGCCTTTCGATATCATTTCATTGAGTAATTGATTTGCTTGCTGCCATTGATCCATCCGAAAAAAGCCATGGATTAGACTATTATAAATAAAAACATTTGGAGGTACCCCATGATCAGTCATTTCAAAATACAGATTGTGTGCATCATTAACAAGTCCTTCTTTACAAAGCGCAACAATGATTGTGTTGTATATAACTGTGTTGGGCTTAACAAGATGCCTTCCCATTACTTTAAGCAATTTAAGAGCAGATGTTGTTTTCCCCATTTTACACAGCCCGTTTGCTAATGTTCCATAACTAACTTCATCTAACTTCAATCCTTTTGCCATTATTTCATCGTAGAAATCTAGAGCTTTGCCAACATTTTGATTAAAACAGAGTCCTTTTATTAGTGTAGTCAAAACTACAGCGTCTGGTTGATAGCCCATTTTGAAAATTTTCCCGAATGTAGAGTAAGCAAAATCCATCTGACTAACGTGGCAGTAACAATTGATCAAGATGCTCAGGTTAAATAAATCTGGTGCGAAGCCCTCCAACTCGGCTTGTGCTAAAAGTGAGATAACCTGGGGATAATGTTTCATCTTCACTATAGACCCTAAAATCTTATTGATATGGCTTCTAGAGGGAGGGGGCCGCATGTGGAGCAGGCGAGTGACTGTATCAACAGCGTCGCTGATGTTGTTGGGTTTTGGGGAGTGGGAATGAAGATAATATTTGCGAGTGAGGCAACAAGAGAGAGAGTGAAGGAAGTTATAAGTAGCAAAGACAGGAAATTTGGTGGAGGAGGAGTACCTTGCAGCAGCTGAAGAAAGCATATTTGGGATCAGATTGAAGGAGGAGTATCTGCGATGCCTCAACGCTTCTTCAGTTCACCGAACACAAAAATGCACAAAGCTTTGCCCAATGAATCAAATCGAAGCCTGAAAGGAGGGTGAAGCCAAGGTGTGATGGAAGAAACAGAAACTGAGGTAGTGACCAGTGAGTTCCGTCTCTCTCATCGGCCGGGGAAAAATCTACCAGGCAGGCCTTCGTATTTGGGTAGTCCATTTATTTCTTTGTTTGTTAAAAAAAAAAAAGGCCGAGGATGGTCCATTTAATCAATCGTTAATGTGGGTATTCTTTCTTCTTTTTTTTTTTTTTTTTTGTTATTTAGGCTAATATTTAATCAGGACTTCAAATTTAAAATATAAGAACAAATACAAACAAAATATTATGATTTTGCTAAAAATTAGATATTTATTTGTTTTTACTCCAAGGAGTGATTGGATGGTGAGGATAAAGATAATTGCCTGATCTCTATATGAAATAATAACGTTAATTTTTTGAGTTATTTTTCAATAAAACTCCTTTCTAATTTATATAATTATTTTAAAATGTTGAATTCAAATATCAAAACTTATGATATAGGCATGTGGTTCTATATTGAAAATAATTTAGGTCAAATTTTTTGTATTTATTATGTCTAGTTCTCCAATCATGCATAGCATGTGTTCTTTTTTAATTTTATGTGAATTTACAATTAAATGTTATTAGATAGTAATATTTTAAAATTAGGATAAATGGTGTTGTGTATTTGAAGAATTTGATAGAATGGTTATAAATAACTTAATATAAGTACCGGCTAATATGATAGTAGTATCAAATAGGATAAAATTTATAAAAACTTATACTGCATCATGATATAACTTAGGCTTCACAGTACTTTTACACCCCACCACAAAACATTTGTTATCTACAGTACAAAGAAAATAGTAAAAATGGCATGGAAACAAAACAATAATTTCCCACCATAAACAACGGGCGCGTACATTTTGTTGCAAGCCAACCCAACATATTTTTCTTGACCAAACAAAAAAAAAAGACAATAACATGTATAGTCATACACAAGTAATTCAATAATTAAACAGTCTTATAATAAATACGTAACATACAATAGCAAGTTCGCTTACTTGTTGTAAGGTCTTTTAATAATTAGATTGCTTATATAGAACTACACAATAATCTGTCCTAATTTTTATTTTGAAACCGAAGGTGTTGTTTGTGTTAGAAAACCTCATGGGGTCAATATTCCATTTACTCATTTGATTGGTGCAATAACTAAGGGTAATCTCCTAACTACGAGCTCCGGTTCTAATTATACGATCTCGTTTGTAAGCTGTCTGCAAACAAAGTCCTATAATTAGTATTGGAGTCCGGAGGTAGTAGCATCAAAAAAATGCTTTTCAAAAGAAAAATTTAAAACAAAAATCTAGAATTGAAATGGCCAAATAAAAGCGTTAATGATAATGATGTCCTTCAAACCCCACTCTCCATGTATTGGGGTGGTAATGCATCAGGTTCTTCTTTCTCAATCTTCGAATCATGATGTTATGGGCATTGGTGGATTCTAGATATTCCTTTGGAAAATTCAGCTGCCATTCAAACAACGGCTCCTTATTTAGAAAGTTTTACAAAATGTCTTATCCTCTAGTGATATTTTAAAGAAAAATCGCTTGAACTCTTCTGGGCTTTGTCTCTTTAGATGTGAATATGAAAATTTTTTAGAGCATTTATCTATCTCAAACTCCTCTTTAGTTTGGATGCTTTCTTATCCGAATTCCCAAGATAAATTTCCCAAAATTTAAAGTATGGTTAAAGGAAACACTTGCTCATCTTCATCAAGATGGTTTTCCTTCTCTAGTTTCTCGAATTATTTGTTTGTTTAATACAACATGGAGAAAGCGCAATTATGTTTTGCATTATGCAAAATATGACTCTCCAATCTCCATCATTCAAGAAATTCACAATGCCCAATATTTCTCAACTTTAGCCTTCAAGGATTTTTCAAAAGAAAAATTTAAAATAAAAAGGAAAAATCGAAACGGCCAAATAAAAATGTTGATTGCTCGATTTGTTTTTAACCCCACTAAGAAAATGAATCCCATTTTCATTAAAAAGCATCACCCTCAAATTAAATAAAAGTTTTTCTTCTAAGTATAATATAATAAAACAAATTAAATAAACATATGATGTTTTTCAGTAAATGATGTTTTGGTCAAAACAATCTTGTGTAGCTCCAAGCATGAAATAATATTCTGTGATACAAAACCCATACAGGCATTATTTTGTACAATGAGTCATTGAGATCAAATATTTTATTATTTCACAGTATAATAATAACTCTACCTAGTTTTATTCTTCGTGATGTGACAAATTAATCTCAATTTTAGAATGTAGATTCGGGCGATAAACATATAAAATCATACGTCTATGCTCAACAATTTTTGACATAAAAAAATAATAGTAAAAAATATAGTTTTAAATAAGTATTTTTAAATTCGAAATTTAGAAATTATAGAAATTTTTAAACATAATTTTTAATAATATAAAAATCAATCAAGTATCATTAACATAATGCATGGGTGAATGCCGTCATATGTTTTGATTTCCATACAATATATAAAAATTCATTTGGCACATGAGGAGAAAAATCTACTAGTTTTGTTTTGTTTCAATGATGTGAATACTATCTTTGCTGAATCTTCTATATAATAATATATACATTTTTTGATTGACATAATATATACATTTTAACATTTCTGTTAGTAATATATAGTTCATGGTAAAAATGTATCAAAATATTATGATTTTGCTAAAAATTATATATTTATTCATTTTTACTCGGAGAAATTGAAAAAAAATTTATAAGTTTGGGTATCTTCAAATTACTTTGTACTTGATATCAACTTTTGTTAAAACAGGAATGTTAACATTAAAACCTTTCTAACAAATATATTTTTTAGGCTCTGAATTTAAGTTTTTCTCCTTATAGAGTAAGATATTAACAATAATAGAATATTTTTCCAAAGAAAAAATCGTAAAAAAATCTTAAAAATAGAAAAATTGCAAATAAAAACCCTTCACAATATTAATATTCATTTTGACAATAATTTTTATGAACAAATCCTTAGATGCAACTTTTCAATTTACAAGGGCTTTTTTTTTTTGCGATTTTTTCAAATAAAAATCCAGAATTGAAAAGGCCAAATAAAAGTGTTGATTGCTTGATTTATTTTTAACTCCACGAAGAAAATGAATCCCATTTTCATTAAAAAAAGTATCACCCTCAAATTAAATAAAGTTCTTTTCTAAGTATAATATAATAAAACAAATTAAATAAACATATGATTAATATACCCTTCTAGTCCTATTTATAGAATAGAGAGAGAAGACATTTTTGGTCCTATTTATAGGGCACTAAGAGAAATTTTTTGCATGGATGTATAATTTTACCGTCATTTATTATTGTATTGACTTTGTTTACATGAGGTATAATGTATATTAAATAGGGATAAAGTTAGAAAGTTATTAAATTTTAAATGAGAGTTAGTAAAGTTTAAAATTTTTCTTAATTTGTATGAAATATACTGAAAATGTCTTATAAATAAAACTAGATGAGTATTAATTTTTTCTAATTTCACATCAAAACCGGAGGTGTTATTTGTGTTAGAAAGCGTCATGGCCCAATGAATAGGTCCTGATTGTGATCAGTTCGATAAGAGGTTAAAAAAAAAGTATGCGTTAATAACTAAAAGAGCAGTCGTTAACAATTTTAAGTGTAAGATTAACAATTTCAGCAGCCAAAAGATACTGAAAAGTGTCCCATGCATAATTTAATCTACCACCTTTGCACAAACCATCAATAAGTATAGTGTAGGTCTTCACATCAGGCCGAAATCCTTGATTGACAATTTGCCTAAATAACGTAATTGCCTTGTCAATATGTCCCATTTTGCAAAATACATCTAACAAGATGTTATACGTGCTTACGTTAGGGTGAAGGCCCCTATCATGCATCTCATAGATAATATACTGTGCGCATGAGATTCTTCGTGATTTGAGCAACCCATCAATAACAGAATTATAAGTTACAAAGCTAGGAACCAAATTTCTGGAATCCAGTTCCTTAAAAAGATCCATCGCTTCATCCACCATTTTCATCTTAAAGCATGCGTTGATCAAAATGCTATAACTAACAATTTCAGGTGCCAAACCATTTTCAATCATCTTATTAAAAACTTCCTTAGCCTCAATGATATTATTGGTCAAACAATGTCCATCAATCAAAGCATTATATGTAACAACATGAGGTCTCTGATCACTCTTCACCATCCTAGCAAATACCGCTTGAGCTTGTACAATCCTTCCGTCTTTACATAATGCGTCAACAATAATGTTGAAGGTATAAACATCTGGTTGTATGCCTTTCGATATCATTTCATTGAGTAATTGATTTGCTTGCTGCCATTGATCCATCCGACAAAAGCCATGGATTAGACTATTATAAATAACAACATTTGGAGGTACCCCATGATCAGTCATTTCAAAATACAGATTGTGTGCATCATTAACAAGTCCTTCTTTACAAAGCGCAACAATGATTGTGTTGTATATAACTGTGTTGGGCTTAACAAGATGCCTCCCCATTACTTTAAGCAATTTAAGAGCAGATGTTGTTTTCCCCATTTTACACAGCCCGTTTGCTATTATTCCATAACTAACTTCATCTAACTTCAATCCTTTTGCCATTATGTCATCGTAGAAATCTAGAGCTTTGCCAACATTTTGATTAAAACAGAGTCCTTTTATTAGTGTAGTCAAAACTACAGCGTCTGGTTGATAGCCCATTTTGAAAATTTTCCCGAGTGTAGAGTAAGCAAAATCCATCTGACTAACGTGGCCCATATTTATAAATAAATAATAAAATATAAAGTTAATTTTTAAATATGTATATATATATAATCTAAAAATGTTTTTAGAATCGTGTGAGGCTTTTAGAATTTTTGCAAGCTCAAACGATTATTCTTCCACGCGAGGTTATGGGAACCTCCATAGGGAGAGTAATTCCAAATTTCTCTCAAAAAATATCTTCTAAATAAAATATAAAATTTGTTTTCATATATTAAAAATACCGATCCACAAAAAAAAACTTTTTTAATTGAATAAATATTTTCTAAAAAACCAAGTGACACGTATTTTTACCCCCCAACTACATGGGCTTTGATCCCTCTAAAGGGTATGTAGGCCATAGATTTTTATCCTAGGTCAAGTCCAACTTTATAAATAATTTTTTTGTTTTTGTAAATAAATTTTTTTTTCTTTGTTTCTATCTTTTTCTTTAGGGTAATTAAAATATAATTAAAAATGCCGTATTAATTTTGAGTAGTTGACTTAGGGTAACTATTCTTTTGAACGGGTGTTGTGGGGTGCCTAACACCTTCCTCATATACAATCGATTCTCGAACGCTATCCAGCTTTTGTAGACCACATTTTTAAGGTTCCCAAAATTAATCTTTTAAAATTTTGGTGGCAACTCCTCTTTCTTTCCCTTTTACAGGATGACCAGGATTTGGGCGTAACAAGTCATAAGGAGGAGTAAGGTGGATGGGAGGGCATAAGCTACTATGCTGATTGTTGCATATGCGTTTGCATGTTTTTAACTTAAGATATTTATGTAAGGCATCACTTCACCCACTTACTATCCTGTTGATATATGTTGTAAAGTGAGCTTAATTAGTTACTAAGACTTTATGTCTCACCTTGGTAATTTCACTGTTTTTAGAAGAGCCTTCCAGTGCCATCCGTCGTGAAGGGAAGTAGTCGAAGGCTTAAGCGAGCAAAACGTAGTAGGCCACTCTTGGCTTGGGTTTGTAATGATTGTATAATTTGCCATGCTAGAGTTTATGTTTTATAACTACATATCTAGCTGTTTCTTTCATACTTTTGGATTATTGAATTTTGAAGAATATTTACTTAATTGCCGGAGGTCATAGGATTTTTTAAACCTTGTGGATCTATATTGGTTATCCTTTGGGAAAAACTCATATCTAGTTGACAGTTGTAATGATTTTGAGACTATAAGCGTTAAGCTATGTAACTTATAGGCTGGACTTAATCCTTACTTTTCTTGTGTCCTAATGCTTTGTATGATGGATTTTTGGGACGACTTTGTGGGCAGCTATAGTGTCTTGAGCCCTCCTTGTCATTGTTGTTAGTTTGGTGAACTTTGATTATTTCAGACTCTTTATAACTTTGGTAGCTTTTGATAATCTTGTCAAATTCTTTATCTATGATGATTAACTTTTTAAACTATTACGAAATTATGGTTTTAAGGAAAGATCTTTTCAATATTCATTTCACGATGTATCCAAGCACCCTAATCAATCTAAATCCTCTTTTAGGACTGTTTTTGGTTGCCAAAACTCTTTCTTATTTAATCTTAAAATTTAATAGATAATTGACCTTTTTATAGAAAAATAATCTTAAAATTTAAAATATAAGAACAAATACAAGCAGATACGTGTGTGTGTTAAATTATTACAAGGCATATGTTCTATTTGGAAGAAGTTTAAGACGGGCTTAGGTAGGAAGGTTGGTGGTGGTAAAACAACTTCCTTTTGGTTTGACAATTGGTCTGAGATGAATACTCCCCTAATTGACCTAGTGCTGGGATATGAAGACCAGATATGCTGGAATGAATGTGTGGCAGACTACCTAACTGAGTATGGAGGATGGGATAGGCGAAAGATGGGGATCTGGCTCCAAAAGCATATTGCCGATCGTATCACCCGAGCACACCCACCCCGTGAGGAGAGAGGAGAGGATAAAAATTATTGGAAACCATCCACTGATGGTTGTTTTTCTGTTAAAAATGCATATAATTTCCTATTTGCAGGTACATAGCAAACGGCAGATAGCATTTGGAAGATCCTTTGGAGATGGTCAGTCCCAGAAAAAATCAAATCCTCTATGTGGATCGTCACGCACGGAAGGGCACACACAACATAGCTTAGGAGGAGACGCGGCATCAACAATGGGGTTTCTTGCCCCTTTGAATGTGAGGAGGAAGAAGATTCAATGCACTTGCTTCGGGATTGCACAAATGCTATGAACAAGTGGAAATTAGTGGTTAGGAACGACAAGTGGACAATGTTTACTTCACTACGGGGAGCAGATTGGGTAAAATGGAACTTAACTAATGAGATTGGCATCAATTTCACCAAGAAAGTTCCATGGCCCACCTTATTTGGCTACATCTACTGGGATATTTGGCTAACACGGTGTAACAAGCTGTTTAGAGGAGGAACCACTAGCACGGATGTCAACGCAAATTCCAATTTCTTTAAGGCTTGCTTGGACCAAGGGCTTTTGCAGCACGGTTCTCAGTCAAACAGGATCCAATCACATTACACCCACTCTGGTAATGTTTCAGAGGATTTTGTGAAGGTAGCAGTAGACGGCTCTATTTTGGTATACGGGAAAAGCCGCTGTGGACGAGTTATTTCTAATAGCAATGATCGATGGATCTGCGGCTTCAGCTGTAAATTGACCTCAGTTCCCCCGGTTATTGCTGAACTTTTAGGTGTCATTCGAGGCCTTAGCTTATGTTGGGTCAGAGGTTATAGGAAAATCTTATTACTTTCTGATTGTATAGCTGCAATTAATCTTGTCATGAGAGGATGTGAAAAAAACCATCCCTTTAAGGATGTTATTGATGATGCTAGGTTGTTAGTTAATAGAGATTGGCAGGTCATAACTTCACATGTTCCTAAAGAAGGTATGATTATATTGCTACTGATAGGCTAGCTAAGATTTCTCTTGATCTAGAAGAAATTTTTTGGCTCTTTGATCACCCTCCCCCTCTTAGTTCAACAGGTGGAGGTTGATAAAAGATAAGCTTTGAGCTTTTGTATTCCCTTTCTCTGTGATATGATATTCAGTTTTTCATTCAAAAAAAAAATTATTATAAGGCAAAATGATATTAATAAACAAGAGAGGACTTTAAGTACTATAAATAGGAGGATAGGGGTAGAAATTAACAAGATTATCAAACAAAAGAGGGGAAGTAATGGAAGCAGAACCATGAGAGAACAACTTGAGCAAGATGTTGACGTGGCTCTAAATGACACTGTTTGAAGAAGTACTATACTGGGTGGAATCAATCCATTTTTTATTAATGCATATAATTTCCAAGTTTTTCCTTATATGTTCTAATCATTATAAAATTTAATTAAAATCTAATAAATATATACATTTTATTATTTCAATTAGTGATAGTCATTATGGTTCTTGGTATATATTTTTGAACATATTATGATTTTTCTAAAAATTCTGTATTTTTTGATTTTTATTGCATGGTATGAGAAGATAAAAGAATTGCATGATTTTTATATGAAATAATCAGTTCAATTTTTGTGAGTTCGTTTTTTAATCAAATTCTTTTTCTAACTTATATAGTTATTTTAAAATGTATGATTAGAATATTAAAACTTATGACATGCGCGGATCAAATGTGATATATATGAACTACGGTTAGAGAGCATTCCATATCTTTAAAGTATTTCTTAAACACTATTTAGTACCTTGAACGAAGTTACGGTATATTCAGCATCTTAAACTAAATGATGACATAATGTACGGTTTTTCTCTCTCCACGTGAGAGCTTCTCTCTCTCCCTGTGAGAGTTAGTTACGGCAGTTTTTTCTTGCCGCTTTTCAGTGTGATCTCCGCCGCCCACTGCGACGGAGTTAGAAGAGAGAGTCGAGTAGCTCGTTCATTGCGACTTCTCGACGAAGTGAGGATTGGTGATTGGAGTGTCGGAGGTAGAAAATATGGAGGAAGATGCGCAGAAGAAGATGTTTGAAGGACGAAATGAGAACCGGAATGAAGGCCTGGAGGCGAAGCTGGTTTGGAAGAGTAAGAATCAGAGGAAGTTGTTCGGTGGAGCATTAGTTGGAAAATTAATGTCCATGAAGAATATGAATAAAACGACGGTTTTACAGATGATTCGCAAAGGATGGAATCTCACGAAGAATGAAGATCTGGAGATTACTGATGTGGATCAAAATGCTTTCATATTCGAATTCCGTCGAGCTGAGGACCGTATGAGGATTCTTCGAGGAAGACCATGGTTTATACAAGGTCAGTTGCTTAATATTCAAATCTGGAAGGATTATATGACCTTTAGTGAAGTAGATTTCCATAGTTGCCCGTTTTGGATCCAATTTCATGAATTGCCAGAGGAGGCTATGGATATTGAGAATGTGAGGATACTCGGTTCAATGGTTGGTAAGGTGGTGATGATCGAAGATCCAAGAAGAGGTAATCTGTTGACTAGAAGCTTCCTAAGGGCAAGGGTGGTGGTGGACCTGAGAAAACCACTGATCACTGGAATATGGACACCGAGACCTAACATGGATCCGGTGTGGATCAAGATTAAGTATGAGAGACTGCAACAATTCTGTTTCTGGTGTGGTCGGATAGGTCATGATCAGAACAACTGTCCTTACCACTCTGATGAGGAGGAGGATGTATCTAGAAGGTTTGGCACCTGGCTAAGCAGTCCAGCTGCCAGAATGATTACAGAGCAAACTATTTGTGAGACAAAGGGGTGGGAGGAGTTTGAAATATCTGCTAATAGACCTGCTCTAACTGAGAGAAGCATAATAGTTGAAAAGGAGAAGTGTCCGAAGATGAAGAATCAGGAAAGCGAAAGTAGAAACTTAGAAGTAAAGAAGAATGAGGTCACTGTCCCAATTAATGTTGAAACTAGCAGGGAAATTGGAAAGCAGATTAAACCAAGCATCTCTGAGATTGATGCAAGACTGGATCAAGAGACTAAAGTAAAT